TCCATCAGCGCGCAGCCTGAAGGGCAACCTGCAGGAGGGTTTCCATCATATAGTGAATCATAGCCTGCTGTTATATCATTCAGTTCTTCTGTTGTGGGTTTTTGTGTTTGATAAAATGCATAAGATTTTTAAAAAATGGGTCAAACTCAAACAGAAATGTATTTCATTTGCAATTCAGACTATGCATGTCAAAGTTTCTCCCATACAAGACAGCCAAATAATCGCTGAAGTCCAAATATGTCAGAGTTGCTCAAAATATGAGAAAATATATGTTCACCCAAGCACTTGAGTTCATTTAATAAAATCTTTATGTCAATGCTGATATGGAACATCATGAGTTCATATTTTTAATGTCAGTTCCTTCATCATAATTGTGAACAGAATCAACTTTTGGAGATTTACTTTCCTGGATGATTGAGAATCCATCAAGAAGTTACTGAATACTTTTTTGTAACTTTTTTGTACTTTTTTTGAAAGCATTGTTTCAAATCCAATCATTATCTGCTTCCAATGGGAAGCACGGGTCAGTAACCTTGCACATAATTTCAGGCATGGTGTAACATCGTTTTCAGCACAACTACAGCTGTAAGTTAAAACAACGCTGCCGTATTAACAGGAACAAACAATGAAAGCTACAGAACCAAAACAAGCACAGCAAACACGATGTCCTTAAACCAAATATGAAACACAGTGACACAGAGGCATGATGGGAGACTGCATTTAGCCATGTAGCCATTCACAACACTCGATAATAGCATTTTTTATAACTATAAGGGAGAAGTTGTGTTTATTGTTCCTGGATGGTTTTTGTTTCCCCTAAACTTACATCTTGGACAACATGCCAAAAGTCAAATTGAGCCATCACTATTTATAATTTTGTTGCATTGTAGAAAGAACTGGAACCAATTGGATGTCTTGTCTCTGAACAGTTAACACATCTTTCTGTTTTTCTTTTTTTAATTTTATGCTAATTTGAATAGATATAAGATAACTGGTGTCATAACATGATATTGCATTTAAATATTGTATAAG